TATTGAATGTACCATCGACAGCCAAGAAAACAAACAGATTCATCCCGGAGAGGATTAAACCAAGCAAATCCTTGGAGGCAAGGATTCTGGGTCTCTGTCTAACATACTTTGGACATATTGTAAGGAGGCACCGGTCCTTGGAGAGGGTCATCATGCTTGGGAGGGTGGAGGGACAGCAGGAGGGGAAGGCCCTCTATGAGATGGATTGATTCAGTGACTGGGATAATCGGGATGGGTGTGTTAGAGGCAATGCGTTTGGCACAGGACAGAGCAGAGTTTAGGGCTGTTGTCCATAGGGTTGCTATGAGTCGCAAGTGACTCAGCGGCACATAATAAGAAGAAACAACAGGTGCCATTGAGTCAATAGCAGCCCTATCAACAACACATCTGAATCTTGTTCTGTCCTATGCCATCCTCACAATCTGAAATACTTAAGACCATTGCTGCAGTAGTTTTGTCATTTCACCTAATGAGAGTCTTTCTCTCTTTTGTCATCTTTCCACCTTTCCAAGCATGATGTCTCTCTTCCAAGGAATAGCCTCTCCTAGTAATATGCCTAAAGTATGTGAGATGAAACTTTGCTGTCCTTGGCTTCAAGGGATACTCTGGATGCACCTTTTCCAAGATACATCTGTTTATTCTCTTGGCAGTAAACGTATTATTGTTTTATGCCATCAAGTCATCTGTGACCAGTAGCAACCCTATGTAGAAGAGCTCTGAAGCCTGCCTTGTCCTGAGCCAGGCTCACTGACTCTGACACACCTCCCCTCATTGCTCCAGTTACTGTATCAATCCATCTCATCCGGCTTCTTCCTCGCCTGTACTGTCCCTCTACCTTTCCAAGCATGCTGTCCTGTGCCAAGGATTGGACTTTCTTGGCCATATGACCCGAAGTATGTGAGATGGAACTTCAAAATCCTTGGCTCCAAGGAGAATCTTGATTTCACCCTCTCCAAGACATACCTGTTTATTTTCCTGACAGTCCATGGTAAGTTCAGGACTTTCTCCAGTAACACAAATAAAAGGCATCAATTCTTGTGTTATCCTTAGTCACAACTAAAGGCATCAATTCTTCTATCATCCTTTGTGGTTATCCAGCTCTCTGATGCATAGTAAGTAGTTGTGAAGCCTATGGACTAGATCATGTGCATCTTAGTCTGTAAACTGACATTGTTGCTTCTCAGTACTCTGGAAAGATTCCTGACAGCAGATTCACCTAATGCAATTTGTCTTTTGATTTCCTGACTACTGGTGCCAAAAGTATTGACTGTGGAGCCGAACAAACTGAAGTTGTTAACCAGCCCAATCTTTTCTCCATCCATCATGGTGCTGCCAGTTGGCCCAGTGATGAGAATCTTTGTCTTTTTGATGTTGAGCTTCAATCCATATTGAAGGCTGTAGTCCTTGACCTTCTGCAACAATCAGTTCAGTTCCACCTTAGTTTCAGCAAGTAAAGTTGTGTCATCTGTATGACAGAGGTTGTTGTTGAGCCTTCCTCCAATCCTGATTCCTGCTCATAAAGCCAAGCCTACCAAATGATCTGTTCTGCATATAGATTGAAAAGACATGGAGACAGGATGCAATCCCTTACGCACTCCCTTCCTGATTTTCAACCATGCAGTGTTACCCTGCTCTGTAGGCTGAAGGTATTTGTGAATAGATTGTACATAGTAAATAGGTTGAAAAACCTATTGATTAGTTGGGTGTTATTTAAGCTGGGATCTACTACTTAATCATAATACCAGTCCAGAACAGAATTATGCTTCTACTAAATATTCCTTAGTTCTTAAGATTAATTAGTCTTGACATATTCCCATTCTCATTGACTTGCTTAAAATGAATCAGTGACCAGCCCTCTTAAAAAGCTTTTTTGATTGTGTGTATGTGTAGTTTACAGAGTAGTTTCCCATTGAGTAATTTGTATATATGTAATATTCAGTGATACTTATGTGTCCCCACAATGTGTCAGTATTTCCCCTGTATCCACCATGGGTTCTAGATTTCCTTTTGTCCTGGTTTCGTATTTTTTCCTCCCCTCTCATTTTTCCTTTCGGGCAAATATTGTTCTTTTGATCCTTTATAATTGATCTAAGGAATATGCTCTTCTCTGTTGTTATTGCTTATGTTATAGACCTCTCTTTTGTTTGGTTGAAAGGCTGTCTCTGAATTTCTTCAGTTCCAGGTCAGAAGACTATCTTAAGGCCATAGTGTTGAAAGTCTTCTAATTTACCTCTGATTTTTTTAAATGAATAAAATGGATTTAAGTTTTTGAACTGTTGTATTACTGCCAAAACAATAATTTTGTCAGGATTAAAATCACCCTTGGCTTCTTTTTAAATATTGATTTGATCATCCTGTTTCATAATTTCTGATCCATGCTAAAGACATCTGGGTATTAAATAATCTGCGAGAAACAAAGCAGGTATCCCCTTTCCTTAAAAGTGATATAAGTTGTATAACAAAAATTGGATAATCAAATTTGTCAGGTAAGATTGATAGATATGTTTGGATTTGGATAGTTGTTGTTTTATTATTATGTACCATTGAGTCACCTGCAGCTCAGAGTGACCCTGTATGATAGTTCTGAACCCTGTCCTATCCTGAGCCTGTGTCACTGACTCTGACACCCTTAACCGCCATTAACCTACTTACTGTTTCAAGACTTAGTGTTCCTCCTCTCCTGCACTATCCCTCCACCCTTCTAAGCATTCTGTCCTTCTCCAAGGACTGGACCTTCCTGGCCACATGTCCAAAGTATGTGAGATGGTGCTTTAGAATACTTGGCTCTAAGGAGAAACTTGGTTTCACCCTCTTCAAGACAGACCTGTCTTTTCTCTTGGTGATCCATAGTATGTTCAGTACTCTTCGCCAGCACCACAACTCAAAGGCATCAGTTCTTCTGTCATCCTTGTTCATTGTCCAGCTCTCTGTTGCATAGCAAGTAATTGAGAAGATCATGGCCTGAATCAGGCATATCCTAATCCCTACATTGACATCATTATTTTTTAGCATATTGGTGAGCTTCCTGACAACAGCCTTTCCCAGTGCAACTTGTCTTTTGATTTCCTAACTGTGCCAAGAGTGTGGACTGTGGAGTCAAGCAAGTTTATATTGTTAACAACCTCCAGCCAGTTGCCCCAGTAGTGAGAATCTTCTTGATGTTGAGCCTAAATCCATTTTGAAGACTACAATCCTTGACCTTGTGCAGCAAACACTTCAGGTCCTCCTTAGTTCTGGCAAGCAAGATTGTGTCATCTGCATTACACAGGTTGTTGAGTCTTTAACTTAATGCCACATTCCTCTACCTGAAGTGCTGCCTCCTGAATGATCTGTTCCGTATAGGCTAATTTATTTCCAAACTTTGTTTTGAAGAATATTTTGTCCTGTGAGATAATACTAAGTGTTCGAGAGGAGAAGAAAAAGACTTGTGTGCGTAAGGAAATCTGGAAAGCACTGTTGTTGTTGTTGTTAGGTACTGTCAAGGTGAGCTCTACTTATAGGGACTCTACTAACAAAAGATCTGAACCCTGTCCTATTCTGTGCCATCCTCACACTTCCTGACACACAAGAGCCCATTGCAGTAGTCAGTGTCATTCCACCTGGTTGAGGGTCTTCCTCTCTTTTGCCAGTCCTCCACCCTTCCCAAACTCATATCCTTCACCAAGGAATAGCACTTCCTTTCAATCTGTTCAAAGTATGTGAGACAAAACCTCATCATTCTTTCCTCCAAGAGCACTCCAGCTGCACTATCTCCAGTATATATCTGTTCATTCTCTTGGCCGCCCACGGGATGGATCTTTATTGCTCTTCTCCAATACCACAGCTCAAAGGCATCAATTCTTTTTCTGTCATCCTTACTCATCGTCCAGGTCTCAGAAGCATACCTAGTAATTGGAATGACTATGGCCAGAATCAGACACACCTTAGTCCTCAAACTGATATCACTACTCTTCAATACTTTGAAAAGGTCCATAACTATAGATTTTCCCAGCGCAGTACTTCTCCTTATTTCCTGACTGCTCATAGCAAGGGTGTTAATTGTGGATCCAAGCAAGATGAAGCTATTGACAGGGTCAATCTCTTCTCCATCCATCATGACACTTGGAAAATACTATGTTAAGCAAATTAAAAGTTCTAATTATTTCAGTTCTCTGGGCTTTTAATATTGTGTCTAGCAGTTGTTTTTTCCTTGGGAATTTCAGAATAATTTGAGAATTTTTTTTTCAAATAACTTTCTTGCCTACCTCCTCTCCTATGTCCCAAGTAGTAGTTTTGACTCTGTATGCTTTGTAGTTTGAATAGATTCTCTGATTCTGACCCACTTTAAGGTGATATTCAGTACATATTTCAAATGTACAGACATTCTTATATTTCCTTAATCAATTGCACAGATTTTCTCTAATTTATCTAATTACAGATTGCCTCTTTAGAAGATTATATAGTAACCTTTTGGGGCTTGTTATTGATTGCCATAGCTACTCATAGTGACCCTATGAACAAAAGGCCTGCAGCCTTTCTCTAACTATCATCATTTATCAAAGTTCACAGAGTTTCCAGAGGCATGTTGTTTAGAAATTGCATGCCACTCCTGCTTCCAAAGGGATTCAGAAAACATTTTTTTGCTTCCATTGTTTAGAATGTAAACTGTTGAGAAGGTAACTGTAGATTTCACTCTACTAATTGTTTTTCAATTTTCAAACACCTTTTATCTTAACTTTGTTACACTACCTTCTTCTGGGTCTCTAATTTTCTGATCTCATGTTAGTTTTAATATTTACAATTATCTTCAGACCCTAAGAAAGTTTATATTTGCCTAAGAAATTCCATAACATGGAGTTAATTTTTCTCTATATTGCATCCTAGCATTTCTACCAAACTGATTTGCATAGAAACATTGTCAAACATTATATCATAATAATAACTAGACAAATTTTATGGAGACATTTTCTGCAAGCTTTTATATATGAATGACTCTGTATAACTTTTATATTTATATCCAGAAATTTCAAGATATTGAAGAAACTCATCTCATTCACATCAAGGAAATAATAAAGTCTTTGTCAAATGCTATAAAGGAAATTCACTTGGAGATAGATCAGGTAAGTTATTTATGTTAATCTCCTTCATTAAGTTGTTATGTTCATTTTGGCTAATTAAAAATCCTTCTTTCTGTCCCTAAAGTATATAGCATGATCCCGAGTTATTTCAGGTAAAGTGTGTCTATTTATAGATCAAATGAACTGTATTTAATCCTCTCTACATTAAAATTCTGAAGTTACCACCTTTGAGATTTTTGTTTTCCGTTTTATAGATGTACAATTTAGAGAAAATTCATTAAGTTATAGAACTTAAGCTTATAAATATTTCTAGAACATAAAAGAAATTTAACGTTAACCCTTTGGGCTGTATTGAAATAAAGTAAAGAAAAAGGAACACTTTTATTGCTTGTTATCAAAAGCCCCAAACTGCATTCATTATCTCTATAAGTTTTGTTTATTATGAGATGTGTGTCTCTGAAATACTTAGATATGGGAAAAGGGTAACTGCTTCACTTCTAAGGCTGTGAGGGCTCCAAAATGTAAGCAAGGGCTGGTCTCCGCAGATCTAACAATGTAAGTGAAGTAGCAACATGTTAGGTAAATGAAATTTATCAAAGACCTTTGGGTAAAAAAAATAGGTATTTTGACTTAATGAATTTTAATTGTTTATGGTTGTGGGAAAAGAAAAAACTTGTCTTTATTTCTTTTAAATAGGTCCATGAAGAATTTATAAATAACATGGCTAACACCACAGTTGAAAGTTTAATACAAAAATTTGTTGAGTCAAAAGGAACTGGAAAGGAAAGACCTGGTAAGCAGAATTTTCACATTTACTCTCCAGTAAAAAATAATGCTTACCTTTAAATTTTCATATGTTTAGGGGACAATTTTTGGTATTACATGCTGAAAGGAGTAACATTTCCAAAATTATAAAATGCATTCTGCATCATATCTAAGAAAACTATGAATTTTCAGATACAATTTTTTTCTGATGATCTGTTAAATTAAGGTTTTACCTTTAAGTAGTTATTACTTAAAAAGGTTATTTATAACCTTTACAGAATTGATCTATTAAATATTTTTTAGAGTTTTGGAAGTAGAGTAAACAACCGAGGCCTATTTGAGTAGATGAAAGATTGGAGAGATAGAGAACCCTCAAAGCATTGAGGCCAACATGGAACCTTTCTTGAATTTTAATAACATAATTTTTGCCTTATTTTAGTAAGTATTCAACAGTTCTTTTTATTGAGTGCTAAGAGTATGTGGAACACTGTAACAATTAATGTAAAACTGAACAAATGAATACAAGAATCCTAGTACCTGCTTGATTGAACAAATGATTACAAGGAATCCTGAGCCTTACTTTTTAATTAAATGTTTTTGTTGTTAGGTGCCATTTGCATTGGCTCTGACTCCAACAGAGCAAACACTGTGCAATCCTGTGCCATCTCCACAATCTACTGGATTTTAGTCCATTTTTACAGGCATTAGGTCAATCTGTCTCATTTAATATCTTCTGCGATGCTCTTCATCAGAAACTAGTCTCTCTTGATAATGTGCCCCAAAGTATGTGAGATGAAATCTCACCATTTTTGCATCTAAGGAACCTTCTGGCTGTAATTCTTCTGTTGTTGTTAAGTGCCGTCAAGTCAAGTAGGCAAATCTATGAGCGAAAGTCCTCAACACTTGAATTCTTCTGAGACAGATTTATTTGTTCTTCTGGCAGTATATAGTATATTCATGTTCCTCACCAACACTAAGAGTCAAAGATCAGTTCTATTCTATCTATTCATTGTACTTTATTTGCAGGCATATGAGGTGATTGAAAAAAAAACATGATTTGGGTCAGGCTTAGTTACCAAAATGACATCTTTGTTTTTTAATACTTAAAAAAAAAATTCTTTGGGCACATTTGCCAAATGGAATACATCTTGTTTTCTTCACTTTAGTGTTGGTTGTCTGTCTGATAAGAAGTAAAATGAAATTCTTCCTAACTTTACTCTTTATTCCATTGCTCTTATTGCCTAGTTGGTAAGCATTTTGTTTTTTTTGTGTTGAGATATAATCCATATTGAATACTAAAATTTCAAAGCCTCGTCAGTAAGTACTTTAGATGCCATTTTTGCTTTCTGTAAACAAGCTTGTGCCATCTTCACATCTTAAGTTGTTACTGAGTCTTCCTTCAATCCTGATGTCACTTGCTTATTTATATCATCCAGCTCTTTGGATTATTTGTTCAACATACAGATAGAGTAGATATGATGAAATGGTACAATCTTGACCCACATCTTTCCTGATTTTAAACTATATGTGATCCCTTTGTTCTGTTCCATTGACTGCTTCTTGTACTGGTCCTGCATAAGCACAGTTCAGTGTTCTGAAATTCCTGTTCATTGCATGCGATGAAGGCCTGATGGAGAGAAGAAAGCTTTGACTTGATCCTGACCATGATTCTTTGGATATTTATTGCCAACAAAATTGGGTCGCTATGAGTCGCAGTCAACTGGATGGCACACAACAACAACCACCAGTCCCCCTGGCTAATTCTAAATACGAATTTCTCTCTCTCTCTCTCTCTCTCTCTCTCTCTCTCTCACACACACACACACACACACACAGAGCTGAAAAAAAGTTTCAGATAAAGCAAAGCAGTATCATGAGCTGTACTATATGAACTGTACTATAAAACCCAGAGGGCAGAACACATTTGGCATTTCGTGTGTGTGTGTGTGTGTGTGTGTGTGTGTGTGTGTGTGTGTGTGTACCATCAAATCAGATCTGACTGGTACAGGAGGAGATTGTCCCCCCCTTCCCCGGCAGAGTATCTGGTGGATTCAAACCGTGTGCCTCTGGGATTGTAGTTGCAGCTCCTTGCCACTAGGCCACCAGAGCTCCCCTACATTTGGCATTTCTAAAGCTGAAAGAACTGAAGAACATATTCAAGTTTTGAGTAGCAGTGATGAATAAGCCTTCATTCAAAACATTAAATGACACAAGAATTACCAGTAGGAGACCAGAATACACAGATTCACTGTCTCTCCAACAGGCCTAATCAAGGTGTTGACTTTGTCCACGTCAATGTCATAACGCATCTTTACAGCTTGCTTGATTTGGTGTGTGTTGGCCTTGACATCTACAATAAACACAAATGTATCGTTATTTTCTATCTTCTTCATGGCTGACTCAGTGGTCAGGAAAATTTGGTAATGGCATAGTGGTCAAGCTTGTTTCTCCTGGGGGTTCTTTTCTGGATGTATGTGGGTTGCCTTCCGTGTCTTAGACCACTGGAAGGTGGCTGACATGTAGATCTTTTTTTGTGGCTGTGGATGCCCTTCGGGACTGCCTTCTTGACTTACAACCCCTTTCCTTCATCTTCAGTTTTGGGAGGGGCATGCGCAGGAAGCTCTTGCTTTTGATGCCATCTTTGTAGAAAAGCAATTTTCAGCTCTCTTATGATCTCTTTCATTCACTTTACCTATTCTACCTTCTAGAGCAATTTTCAAAGTCTCTCCTGTCATCCATTTTGGTCTTGTCTGTCTGTCTTTTCTCTTACCTGGCATTTTAATGACCATTTGATGTTTTCATGTATGATGTCCTTGATGTCCCCCTAATGTCTGGCATTAATGGTCATTGCATCAAATCAGTACTTGAGAAGATCTCTAAATTCAGGTAGAATATACTCATATTTTGGCTTTTGTGGGTTTTATCTAATGTGATTTACAGCCTCTGAAACACTTGCTGGATGGTCAGCTATCAGTTGGTTCCAACTCTGCAGCGATGAGTGAGTGAGTGACAACTTGAACCTGCATAAGAGCAGTTTGATGGCCAGAACCTCTGGCCTTGTTTTGATTACTTTTCCATCCTCTCCACAGATGTAATCTGTTTGATTACTTTGTATTCCATCCTACAAAGTCTACATGTATAATAATTGTTTACATTTTTTTTTGAAAAGAATAATATCTGTAGTGACTAAATTATTGGTCTTAGAAGTTCTGCCATGCTATGTCTGGCCTTCTTCCTTTCACCAAGACCATATTTTCCAGCCTGCAGTCCTCCTTTCTTGTTTCCAGCTTTTGCATTCTAATTACCAGTTATTGTGAATTCATCTTGATTGTGTGTTTGATCACTTTCAGACTGCAGAAGCTGGTTGAAATTCTCAGTGTCTTAACTTTTGGCAATGAGGGCTAGTACTTACATTTGAATAACAGTTGTATTAACATGTATTTCTTATAAGCAGGTTGATATTATTCTATCACTGACAGCAGTGTATTTTGAGATATATCTTGAAATGTTCTTTTTGATGAAAATGCAGTGCTGTTTCTCTTCACATTGTCATTCCAGGCCTATATACTATTTCATTGTCTAATTCATAATGATCATTTCCAGTCCATTTCACTTCACTAATGCCTAGAATTTTTATGTATTTTATTTCATTTTTGACAACTTTAATTATCTCAGGTTCATATTTCATGATTCTGTATTTTGATAATTAATGGATGTTTGCAGCTCATTCTTCCAGTTTTGAGTTGTGCCACAACAACACATGGGAGATAAGCCTCATTGCTGAATGATTCTTATATACTCTAGCCCTTTGCAGCAGTCTCTATGTCAGTGAATCTGGTTGAAGATCTTCTCTATTGCCAACCCTTCACCTTTCCAAGCATAATATCCCTCTCCAAGGAATAGCCTCTCCTAATAACATTAAGTGTTGATACTTGAGTATTAATGCAGTATTAAGGGTTGATATTTTAGTTGAAATATTTAATCGTTAGTTTAGTAAATGGAGACTTTGTTTGCAAGTGTCAGAAAACCAAGTCTAACTGAAGCAAAAAAATAGCACATACTTTTAAAAAAAATTGCAAATTATGAAATTTGTTTTTTTTGTAAGATGACATGTATCATTTCTATGTGATTATATATAATTTATAGTCTCAGAAGATTTTTGTTTTGTAGGATATATTCTGATTTTCATTTTTTATAGATATGTATTGATTGCTTTTAACATTTAAGAAATATTTTATATTGGTTTGCATACAAAACTCCTATATATATTGTGTTTTTTTATGTACCTTGAGTTTCACACATTCCTTCATTCATATTGTATTTCATATGATCATTCCCATACACTGTGTTTTGTAAAATTAGTCACCATTGAGCTATGCTAACTGCTCTTAACAGTTTATTTCTTACTTTGTAAGGATCCCCAGTGGTGGATTTTTTTTTCTTCTTAAAGTAGGAAAGTTCAAAGCTGTGTACATTGTAAAAGTAAAGAATAAGAAGCTTGACCGTGTATACACATAAGCTCATTTATTGAGTCAGAATTGACTCATAACTAACTCTTCAGGAAGTTTTCAGAGACTGTAAATCACACCAGAGGTGATTGCCCATTGTTCACACATGGAGCAGCTAGTAGATTACAGCCACTAGAGAAACCACCTCTGGATTAGCAGTGCAATTCCCTATGAGCTATGCCACCAGGGCACAAGTTTACTTGTTACTTCTGTGCTGAAAACAAAAGATACAACCTCTCACATGATGTAATTAATTATGAAGATGAATATGTCCCAATTTTCTTTTGTAAATCAGAAAATTGGAGAGAATTAAAATTTTCATCTCCTCATTAGATTATAATGTTGTGACATTCTCAGAATTAATTTTTAATTGAAGTTATCACTGTTAGGTGCTGTCCATTTATATTTGAACCATAGCAACAGAATGAACCCTACTTGGACCATCATCGTCCTTATAATGGCTCCTGTGCTTAAAGTCATTGTTATAGCTGTTGTGTCAGCCCATTCTGTTGAGCATCTTATACTTTTTTAGTGACTGTCTACCACGCATGATGTCCTTTTCCAGGGACTGGTCCCTTCTGATGTAATACCCAGAACATGTGAGACAATATATTGCCATCCTTATCTCCATGGAACATTATGCCTGCCCCTCTTTGAAGACAGAGTTGTTTGTTCTTCTGGCAATCTTTAGTATATTTAATGTTCTTCACCAACACTACAGTTCAGAGACAATTCTTCTTTGGTCTTCCTTATGTATTGTCTCACTTTCATTTAAATGTGAAGTCACTGAAAATGCCCTGTCTTGAACCAGGCAGTCTTAGTTCTCAAAGTGATATCTTTATTTTTGAACACTGTTCAGATTTGCCTTTGCAGCAGATTTGCCTGTTGCCACAGGGAATTTGATTTCTTGACTGCTGCTTCCATAAGCATTGACTATGGGCCCAAGTAAAATGAAATTCTTGGTTTTAGTCTTTTCTCCATTGATCATGATGTGGTTTATTAGTCTAACTATATGGATGGTTGTTTACTTTATGTTGAGGTGTAATCCATACAGAAGGCTTTAAAAACTTTGTGAAGGTTGCAGTCTTTGAACTTCCTTCAATTCTTAGAGCCTTACTTTTGCTAGTGCCTTCTGTGCAGCTTGGGTTTCTTCCTTCAGTATCATTGATTCTTCAGCATGTACTATCTCCTGAAATAGCTGAGTATCCACCAATCTTTTTTTGTTCCATGACACTGTATTCTTTCCATTTTCTTTTGATGCTTTTCTGTGTCATTCAAGATTTGTCTGTAGGATCTTTCACTCTTATTACTCAGTGCTTGAATTTTTTTTCCCTTTAGTTTTTTCTGCTTGAGCAGTGCTGAATGTATTCATTCTTTTTGGTTTTCTGCTAGAAGTTCTATTTTTCCTCCCCCCAGGTCTCATTGAATTTGAGGAATGTGATCCTGCTAGTGCAGTTGAAGGTAAGGTTACTAATAATATGTTAATACACATGGCATTTAGCTAATAACTTCTGTTTATGGAACAAATAAAGAGGGACTGTATTCATTGATTTCTGCCTATTTGTAATGAAAAAATCTGAATGCAGTTTGAAGACTAAATAATTTGTTTAATATGTACATAATGGGTTTCTGTAAAGGAATATTATTGCATTAGAATATATATTTATATAAAAAATGAAATACATATTTGTTTTCAAACAGACATTCAAATTAATTTCTCTATTTATATACATCCTTAAGCCTTCTGATGTCATATATATGAAAACTCATCACCACATAATACTGTGTAATTAATTTTCTAAGTTGGGTAACATTTTAGTAATTAATGAAGTTACTTATTAATGTTACTATTAACCCAATTCAGAATGGATGATGATTTTGTTTGGATAGAGGAAGGTTCTGCAACCAATTTAACTTTATCAATAAGGTGAAGCTCAAGAGGTGCCTGCCATTTTTGTTAATGTTTGATACATCTCATTTTGTGAGCTGCAAGAAATAGTTTAAAAGTAACCTCCTAGCTTCTCGAGATCACTAGATCAGTTTTCTTTGTTGTAAAAAGAGGCTAATCATATTCTCTGAGAATAGAAATAGTATTTGATTTTAAAAATATCATCACACACACACATACACCATCCTAAACAGTTTTATAGGGAGGCAGCTCTGTGTGATAGGAAGTATCTTGTTTTGAGATAACCTGGATTCTAGTCCTAGCTGTGTTATTTACTAGTTGTGTTGCTCTTGTTGTTGTTACCTGCCTTGAATAGCCCTCAACTGATGATACCACCATTCATAGTGGAACAAAATGTCCATTCCGGCACCAACGCCATGATCAGTTTCAGACTGAACCATTGTTATCCACAGAGTTTTCACTGGCTGTATTTTAGAAGTCGTTCACCAAGATTTTCTGGGTTTGTTTTAGCCAGAAGCTCTGCTGAAACTTGCTTAGCATCACAGTAACATATGCTACTCCACTAACAGGTGGTAGCTGAGCATAAAGGATATTTGCTAGGAACCAAACCCATAATAGTAAGGGGGCGGGGGGGTGGGAGGGGAGAAAGAAAAGTCTTAAGTTTTTCTCACATGAAATGAAAAGGTTGTCCTAGATGTGACCTGTGGTTTCTTACTGTTCTGGTATTACAAGATTAAACTTTCAAGTGGGTTTCCCTCCCCCTATTTGCATCAATAATTGATAACAAGACTGACCTTTAAAAAGCAGTTTGTTATACAATATTTGTCATACAAATGGATGCAGCACTGCCCTATTAAGAAAAGCAAAGATGATACTTCTTTTTCTCCTTTGGTGACCCATCTTAATAACATTGCTTGTATCAGAGATGAAATAATAGATGTTGGAACATGGACACCTTTTCATTAAAAATCACATTTATGTTTTATGACCTTTTGTGTAGGGAACATGATTTGATCTACGTATATAACACAATCTAATATTATGAGTAATGTACTTTCTTTGATAGTTTAAAATATCTATACATTGTACCTGGGAGTAACCTAAGGAAGATATAAGAGAAAGAGAGAATTTCAATCATAAAATGAATATTCTGCATAAACTTTTGATGAATAATACCAAAACCCAAAACCTGCTGCTGTAAAGGTGGTTCTAACTCATGATTCTCTCTTGGGTTTTCAAGACCATAGATTTTAACAGTGGGTTCAAATTGCCTGCCTTCTAGTTTAGCAGCTTACCGTGTAACCTACCATGCCACCAAGACCTCCTTATTTGGTGAATGATAGACTGAATGATACTTTAGTAAGTTTAAACAGACTATACCTATGGTCTGAATATTGAAGTTAAGTATCTGATACTTGTATTTCCTGTCATCCAAATTTAACTTTAATGATTATAAACAAATTACCTGGCAATATACAAAGATATATTCACAAGTTCAATATGTTTTCGAGAAAAGTTGGTGTTTTTATAACAATATGCCATTTTCTAAAGGTATAAAACCAAGGAAAAGAAAGACTTTTGCTTTGCCAGGAATAATTAAAAAGGAAAAAGATGCAGAATCTGTGTAAGTATATTAAATATTATAAAAATACTTTTATTGTTATAAATTAATAAGACCATTGCTTTGAATTTGGGAAGCAGAAATTCCTTTGAAAATAATGCAGAGTTCATATGTTTAAGATGTGAGAAAACAAACACATTTGTCAGCTTTCTATGGTTTAGTTCTAAATAATTAACTTACCTAAAAGGCTTAAATAAAACAATAAAAGTTTTAGTATCTTGAAATGGGAAAATTTTAAAGACTCTTTTTAGTAAAATATATGTTTAAAAAATTAAAACTGTACAAATGGACTAAAAACTTGTTTTAAGATCTTAGTATGTAAAGGGGAAAAAAACCAATGATCCAATTTGGTAAAAATTATTCTCAACAATGCTAAGCATACAGACACACAATGATATAGATAAAAGATGATATATTAGAGAGTACTAAAATGGTCTACCAACTTTTACTGTATGTCCTAGGTTATTTTTAGGTGGAAAATTCGATCTATTTACAAATCTGATTTACCTTAAAAAATTAGTCACCAAATAATAGGTAACTTTATAGGCTAGGTGCTCATTGTGGGACAGACCACTAACTACTCATGCAAATTCAAGCTGAAGCTGAGGAATATTAAGTCCACAGGAACCAAATTTTGACCTTGAGTCTATTCCCCTGAATTTCAAAACCATCTCAGGAACAGGTTTGATGCCCTGGACATTAATGAGCAAAGACCGGATATAAAAAATTTCATCCAGGAAGAATGCAAAAAGATCATTACAAATATAGAGGAGGAAGAAAAGACCAAGATGAATGTCAGAAGAAACTCTGAATATTGCACTAGAGCACTGAGAAGCCAAAGCAAAGGGAAGAAATCAAGATATAAAGGAGCTGAACAGTAGATTCCAAAGGGCAGCACAGGAAGACAAAGTATTACAGAGAAATGGGCAAGGAGCCGAAGTCCCAAAATCTAAAGGGCCGAACTTGCTCAGCATTTCTTAAAATGAAGAAACGAAGAACAAATCCAAACCTCAAGTTTTAATACTTAAGGTTGTTGTTGTTGTTGTTATTATGTGCTGTCGAGCTGTTGCAACTCATAGTGACCCTATGTATTATCTCCAACACGCCCATCCCATTACTCTATTGATGGAATCAATCCATCTCATCAAGGGTCTTCCACTCCTGTGCTGTCTTGAGTAAAATATTAAATGATCCAGGAAGCATTAAAAGAAGATGAAAAGAGTACACAGAGTCATTGTACCAAAAGGAATTGGTAGACACAGAATTTCATGAAACAGTGTATGAGCAAGAGCCTGTGGTGATGAAGGAAGAAGTTCAAGCTTCTCTTGAAAGAATTGGCAAAAAACAAGGCCCCAGGAATTGATGACATGCCATTTGATATATTTCAACAAACAGGTGCTGCCCTGAATATGCTTCCCAAGTTGTGCCAAGAAATCTAGAGGACGAACAGCTGTCCAAGAGACTGAAAGTGATCTATATTAGCTCCCATTCCAAAGAAAGATGATCCGACATTGTTGTTGTTATGTGCCGTCGAGTCGCTTGCGACTCATAGCGACCCTATGTACAACGGCCCTAAACTCCGCTCTGTCCTGTGCCAATCGCACTGTCTCTGACACTCCCATCCCAATTTTCCCAGTCACTGAATCAATCCACCTCATAGAGGGCCTTCCTCTCCTGCGCTGTCCCTCCACCCTCCCAAGCATGATGTCCTTCTCCAAGGACCTGTCTCTCCTCACAACATGTCCAAAGTATGTTAGACGGAGCCTCAGAATCCTTGCCTCCAAGGAGCCACCCGGTTTAACCCTCTCCAGGACAAATCTGTTTGTTTTCCTAGCAGTCCATGGTATTCTCAATACTCTTCTCCAGCACCACAGCTCAAAGGCATCAATTCTCCTTCTATCTTCCTTGGTCATAGTAAGGAAATTATCAAACATTATCATTGATATCACATGCAAGCAAGATTCTGCTGAAGATTATCCAGAAACAACTGGAACAGCACATCAGCAGAGAACTGCCTGAAGTACAAGTTGGTTTTAGAAGAGGCAATGGTACTAGGGATATTATAGCTAATGTCAGATGAATCTTGGCCGAAAGCACAGAGTACCAGAGGAATGTCTATCTGTGCTTCATTGACTGTACAGAGGCATTTGTGTAGATCACAACAGACTGTCGTTGACTCTGAGAAGAATGGGAATCCTAGAATACTTGATCATGCTATTGAGAAACCTATACTTAGATCAGGAGGCAGTCATTAGAGCAGAGCAAGGGGACACTGCATGGTTCAGAATTGGGAAGGATGTGCACCAAGGATGTGTCCTATCTCCATATCTTTTCAATTTATATGTGGAATAAATTATCTGGGAAGCTGGGCTCTATGAGGAGAAATGTGGCATCAGAATTAGAGGTAGACTAACAATCTGCGTTACGCGTATGACAACCCTACTTGAGGAAACTGAGGAGGACCTGAAGCACTTGCTGCAGAAGGTCAAGGACTTCAGCCTTCTATATGGATTGAAGCTCAACATCAAGAAAATAAGGATTCTCACCACTGGGCCGATTTGCATCGTGATGAGCGGTGACAAGATTGAGATTTGTTAACAGCTTTCATTTGTTTGACTCCATAAGCAACATTCTTGGGACCAGCAGCCTGGAAATTAAAATACGAATTGCATTGGGAAAATCTGCTGTCAGAGACCTCTCCAAAGTACTGAAGAGCAATGATGTCAGTCTGGAGACTAAGGTGCACCTGATACAGGCCATGATCCTCTCAATTACTTGCTATGCATCAGAAAGCTGGACAATAACTAGTGATGATAAAAGGAGAATTTATTCCTTTGAGCTGTAGTGCTGGAGAAGAGTATTAAAATATACCATGGACTGCTAGGAGAACAAATAAACTCATCCTGGAGAGGGTGAAGTTAGGCAGCTCCTTAGAGACAAGGATTCTGAAGCTTTTTCTGACATACTTGGTACATGTTGCAAAGCAAGATCAGCCTTTGGGATAGATGTATTTGAGACAATAAGATTGACACAGGGTAGAGCAGGGTTTAAGGCTTTTGTACATAGGGTCGCTATTAGTTGGCAGTAGACTTTGACACATAACAATATAATGCACTTCAACTCATTGTTGTTGAGTAGATAATATTAAGAGTTTTTGAGGCTATAAATCACATGGGGAGAGATTGCCCCTCTTTTTTCCTGCATGGCTGTTGGATTCAAACCACCAGAGAGGATGAAGCCATGAACAAGGGTACATCTTTTGGGTCAACAGGGCATTTCACTCCAGAATATGCCACAAGAGCTCCCTAACTATAACTAGCACATAAAAAATTGAACTAGTATTGAGACTTTTCAATGTAGGTTCCACAGTAAGACTAAAATAAAGATAAAATAAATATGCCTATGTCCAGGTTGTGCCTCAGAACAATTCAATAAAATCGTCCAGGAGTAAAACCCCAACATAGCTTTTGTTTTTCTTTTCATGTAGTCCATGTGAATCCCAGTAGTACCCATATTTAGACACAGTAAATTTAAGTAATTAGAGTCAAGCTAAAATTAAAGCAATCTTTAAAAAAAAAAAAAAAGATTCAACCTTATTAGACTGAAGAGCATTTTTACTCAGTAATATTGGATAAAATGTATTATAATTAGTATCAGTCTCTTGAGGTTTAATATTTTAATGAACTTTCTCATATTTTCAACTTAAGAGAACAGTTTTCCCTTTGGGTATTTTTGCCTCTTCTTGTTAGATTCAATCTTTACTGATGGTGAACCCATGTCCAATAGCATGAAACATTTCATGATTCTGTGCTAGATCACAATTTTAGTCCACAGTTGTGACCTCTGACACTATTGTGTTGTGATTTCTTGTCTAATTTTTAGAAATAAACTGCCACATACTCTTCCTTAGTCTGGAAGCTTTGCTAAAATCCATCAACCATGAGTTACCCTACTTGTATTTAAAATACTAATGGTATACCTTCTAGTGACATAGGAACACACTAGCTACTGCATTCAGTAAGATACATCGACAGACAAATGGTGGTCTCACCTCCTATTTAATTATATTTTGATCATCTGAATTTTTTCCATTCTGAGTATATGGCTCTTTTTCCTCCCAGGTGGTTTTTTTCCTTTTTTCACCCCAGATGGTATTTTTTTAAACAGTTGATGGCAAAGTTATTTATATCAGTAATTTACATCTCTTCTCAAATATTTTCATTGAAATTTTAAGAAGGGAGTACTTTCCTGAGGGGATGGACTTTTATAACTCTTTTTTATAACAGTACATTTCATTTGACCCAATATATACAAAATAGATTGGGTTGTGATCTACACAATCTGCTTTTGCAAATCAGCCAATAAAACTGTGTGTCTTTTACAACAATTAAGACAAATAAACCAAACCGATTGATCACAGCAGTCTAATTTTAATTGTGCATGAGGTCTCGCCATGAGTTAGAGTCTGAATTGGGAACTAACACAAACACAGCCACAATTTTTATCTCATCATGCAATCCACATATGTGTCAGCTGTGCTGGACACAGACCCTTAGGAAGCTGGGAGGATAGACTGAAAGAGCTGTGTCTTTTTGTTTTTATTTTTTAAAAAAATTATTGTGGTAAAAACACATTGCTCTTTTAGCCATTTAGAGTGTATGGTTAGGTACACTTGGAATTAATTATATTCACAAAATTATTCTATGATCACCACTTCCAAAGTGAAATTAAAAGTTTAAAAAAAAGACACTAAGTTTTTAGTCCAGGGGTTTAAAAGGAAAGAATAGTTGGTTATGATAAAATTTTGGGAAGTTTATAAAGCAATGAAAACTTTTATGATACACAACAGTTCTTAAGGAAAAAAGTACTTTTGAAAGTAGTTTATAAATACTTATAAATTTAAAAAATATAATTTATATATTGCTTTGTCATGAGTTAGGAGTAATATAAGAATTCTTTTAAAATGTAAAAATAATTGATGAATTTTGATCAGCATGTTTATATTTTTATAAATATTTTTATAAAGTTTGGTTCTCGTGGATGACCATTTCTAATTTTGTTTGTTTTGATAGAGAATGCCCTGATGCAGATTCACTTGTAAGTAGATATAACTATGTTGTATAAATTTACTGTTGAGATTATTTTACAAATCCATTTTTCACATAATCGTCAGATGTTTTTCTGTTAATTGAAGGTCTTTCTAACTACCATTGAAAAGGAGACATTTTACTTTTAAAGCTGAAGTGATGCTGTCTGTACTATATTACCTTTTCGTAGGAAACAAGCCAAATAGCATGTCTGGATTTTACAATCTAAAGTGTAATGTTTTTACTAATTTGTTGTTGTTATGTGCCATCGAGCTGCCTGCCATTCATAGCGACCCTGTGTACAGGAGGTCTGAACCCTGCCCTATCCTGAGCTAGTCTCACTGACTCTGACACACCTAATTCCATTTTTCCAGCCACTGAGTCAATCCATCTCATCTAGGGTCATCTTGTGTTGTCCCTTCACCCTTCTAAGCATGATGTCCTCCAAGGACTAGGCCTGCTTAGTAATAAATAATCCACTGTCATCAAGTGAACTGTCCATGGTAAAAGGATGGACAATCATCTCCTATTCAGTTAACTCTGAAAAATCCCTGGAGGATCAGTTATGGGCTTGGTTCTGACTCAATGGCAAACAGCAACAATAGAGTAGAATTTTAAGGCTCTACAGGATTTCAGAAGTGCTAAATCTTTATAGAAGCATATTGCCTAATCCTTCTTCTGTGAAGGCTATTGGTAAATTGTAACTTTAACTGTAGATTAACAGCCAACACTCTTAAACTCACCAAGACTCTTTAATTTAGTCTTGTTTGTTGTTGTTATTGTTGTTATTTTTATTGTTATGTGCCATGGAGTCAGAACTGACTCATAGTTGACCCTCTAGTGGGTTTTTAAGATTGCAAATCACATGAGAGCAGATTGTCCATCTCTCATCTCCTGAGGAGCAGCTGGTAGATTCAAACCACCTGTCTTTGAGTTGACAGCACAACTCCTTTCCACTGAGCCACCAGAGCTTTATACAATTTTGTCTTAGATTTAGTAAAATACTGCTTTATTTCTTAATACATTTCAGATTTCTTAAGAGATACTGATTTAGAAACAACAATAGTAATAATCGTTCTCAGTTCTCTGTGCTGTTTTCTTCTTTTACATGTCATATAAGAAAATATCAAGTGAATCTCCTTGTTTCATTAGGAAAATAAATTTCCCAACTGTTATAAGTAATATGTAGAGGACACATTTTTTTCAAGCTTTCCATTTAGACACTCATTTATCATGTTAATAAATGTAGGAAGATCAAACTGTCTATTTTGCTTATTATTCTTTCTTATATCATCATTATTTCCTTTGACTCAAAAACATTTTGATCTTTTATATAGCATAACAACTCAAAAATTTATTGCCATTGAGTTAGAAGCAACTCACAGCAGACAGACACTCCTTGAGTTTCCACAGCTGTAAATCACATGGAAGACACTGCCCATCTTTTTTCTTTGGAGCTGCTTATAAATTTGTCGTGCCAGAAAGATGTGGCATCTGAGTTAGCAGTGCAACTCCCTATAGACTCCATGCCACCAGAGCTCGTTATATACTAGAATTATTTATAAAAATTAATAAAGATATTTTGTGAAATGTTTTATGTTGCTTACCTAAAACTTTTTAAAAAAATGTTTTTATCTTAGCTTAAAAGTAGAAAACTCTAATTTGTGAATTTTCAGTGACTTTAAATACATGCCTAATGAGTTGTAGGATTAAAATTACCAGTGTTTGAATTATTTTTATCGTTCCACTCGCTTGTGTTGATACGCTTTGCTTTCTAATTATTAAAAAAGTGAGATGGTGGCATTTGCTTTGTTTCTGATTTATTTCTAGTACTTCTTTGATGATAGAAACATTGCGTGAAATCTTTAATATTTCATGATTGTTCTTTTTTTAGTACTTCATGTTTGAGTATATATATATTTCCTTTAAATAAGTTTTTAAATTCTCTCACTAGCTCATTGATATTCAGTGGATCAGTTTCCTCTACTTCTGTATTTTAAGCAGTACCTTTCTGAATTAGGCTTTTAAAGTGAACACAAAAAAAACATAATGCCATATAGGAAATAATTGGTAATTTAACTGGACACATGAAAGCTCAGTAATTTGAAAAATAAAACAAATCTCCATAAAGGCTTTGAATCACCAGAGACAGATTGGCAGAGTATATTTGTATCATATGTTACCCAGAGCTAATTGCTTCTGCTTATTAAGTTTTTATAAAAATTAGTTACAAAAGGTGAGGAAGCACCCAGTAGGAATAAGGCATAGGATTAAAAAAAAAAACAAACCCAAACCAAACAAACCCAGCTTTTTCAAGAAGAGAAAAAAGGATTAGAACATAATAAACATGTTCAAAATTGTTTCATTATGGTATAATCTTTGACAAAAATTTAAGTTTGTTATACTCCAACTTTCGATAGAGGAGTATGATTTTGTCCAGTCTGTCTTACATAAGTTTATATATAATATCTCCCTAAATAAATGAAATGTCTTTTCCACTGAGTCCTTACCCTGTTAGGAATTGAAAATTAAGGCTATATCCATATTTTAAAGATTTTATACAAACGCGCGCGCGCGCACACACACACACATACACACATGACTACTATTGATTTTTGTGTGCGCGTGCTCTCTCTCCAGCATTGCTGAAATAAGCATCTCTCTCCGGGTTGTCATTAGCTGTCACTGAGTCACTACAACTTAAAGTGACCGTAGGATCAACACATTAAAGCTTTGTCCTGCCCTGCACCAAGCTCATCATCTGCCATGCTCAAGCCCATTGGTGCAGGCACTCTCAGCCTATTTTGTTGAGGGTCTTCTCTTTTGATGACCCTCCATTTTCCTCCCCAGCATGTTAGGTTTTACCAAGGACTGACCCTTCCTGACAGCATGTTTGAAGTATGTGAGATAAAGTTTTACCATCTTTGCCTGTAAGGAGTATCCTGATTGTGCTTCCTCTAAGACAGATTGTTTGGTTTTTTGGCAGTCCTTGTTATATTTTATACTGTACACCAACACCCGAATTCAAAGACACTGATTCTTCCATATTTCTTATTCCTTGCCTGGCTTTTAGATGCATAAGAAGTAATTGAAAATACTATGACTTGAGTCAGGCACACATTAGTCTTTAAACTGATGATATACTTTGTCTTTAGCACTTTAGAGTACCATGTTTGTCAAGGGCGGCATGACTTTTTATTTTTTGATTGTTGCAGTAATGGGTGTTGATTCTGGATCAAAATAAAATTTTTGACAACTTTAATGTTTTCTCTATCTATTGTGATGTTTCCTCTTTGCACAGTGGTATTTTTATTTTCTTGATATAATTGAGATGTAATCAGTTTTGAAGACTGTAGTCTTAGATCTTCTGCAGCAAGTGCTTCAAGTCTTTTTCCCTTAATGCAAGCAAGATGCTATCTGTGTAACTCAAGTTGTTGAGTCTTCCTCTAATTCTGCCACTGTTATAAAACAGGACTGACATAGGGGTTGGGGGAAACTAAGAAAATAGGGAATAAATAATCTACAGGGCATTGAAACAAACAAGTGAGAGAACTGTATAAGAGGAATATATGATTAGGTATAATTGGCATGACAAGAGTCTAGAATAATAGCTGCATAGTAAAGTTGTCTGGGGTGGGGGTCTGTATAACAATGGAAGAACTTTTTTCCTCAAAGAAAAATGCTCTCTGGGGAGGAGGGGGACTGGGAGAAAAATGTGCAACAGTGAATGACGATTGGAAACACAAGTTCTTTATAAATTTTCATTAAAGTCTCAATTAAAAAAGGGGGGAAAGATGTTTATTTCAACATTATTTGTTGTTGTTGTTATGTGCCGTCGAGTCATTTGCGACTCATAGCGACCCTATGTACAACAGCCCGAAACCCTGCTCTATCCTGTGCCAATCTCATTGCCTCTGACACACCCATCCCGATTA